AAGACCTGTAGTCTACGCGTTTATCTCATGCCGAGAATTTATCAAGACAGAGGTCCAAGAAACAGATGCTGGATATAAATACCCTTCGTTGGGATGCCTGGTAAGTAGAGGGGTTGATGTCATCAGAGACGCAAAGAAAGATTTCAGGATCAGTGGTTAATTAGCAATGAAAACAGGGCACATAAAATCACAATTAGTTTAGGACAAAGAAGGGGGGAAAAGGGTCTTAAATGTTGATAAACTACTTTAATACAGGGAATGATGTATAAAGTGAATCAAGAAATGGCAATGAAATACAGATGATTAAGAATGTCCTCAAAAACTAACAGCAGAAGACAAATTATGAATTAATAAATGTACAATATGTGTAAATATATATATATTAATAAATACTATGAAAAAAATTATATAAAAATACATAGATGGTTAGTTGCCAATAAAATTTAAGCACATAGATTCATAGTTGATTTGACACAATAAAATATTAAACAATAAAATAAAAAACCCAGATGAATGGTCCTGTCCTGAATTGGATAAAACAATCTGGTGCTGTATGGAGCATTCAGATATTGGTCACAATATTTAACAATGTCCAGATTTTACAAATAAATGAGCCTGAAAATGGTCCGGGTTTTAGCCGCACTGAATGCTGACAGATGTCTGAAATCTGGTCCTGGTTTTTACAAAATTCAAACTAGTGCTAGCAGCCAGCATGCAAATAGTTAAATAATCCTTGGAGATGGAAGGGTTATTTAGGTGGCGGCTGACCAGGTGGGCAATATCTGCTAAACATTAAAAACTAGCGACTGGACCATCATTGCTGCTATAAAATAATGGGGGAAATATAGTCCCCCCTATTCTCCCAGCTGTTTTCATTGACTGGGGAGACTATAAATTAATCCACTGTGCACCCTCTCGGTGTCCATTGAGTAGAGGATATTGAATTAAATACATGTGGGGCATCCTAATAACCCATCCCTGTCGCCACTCATGGTAAACAGGTGGGGGCTACTTATTTAAATTGGGGGTATGTAGTGCCCCCCTAACTCCTACCCATGGGCCGCAGGTGGGGGCTGCTCATAAAATATATGAAGGGGGT